GCGGGGAGGGTGAAATCCAGCCCCTCCCTTGTTACAGCAGAGAGTCGTGACAGGATCGAGAAGTGAGCGAACGCCAGTATGTGTTCGCTCGCCTCCCGATCTACTAAGCCGACCTGTGACAGTCTCATTGTCACAGGTCGGCTAGAACTATGAGGTGAGTGAAAAGCACTCACCTCATAGTTCTCCTATAAGGAGCGCCACACATCTGGTGGCACCCATGGCACCCTCCAGAGATGCATGGACCTAGTGAGTGTAGCCATCCTAGAACAGGAAGGGTATTATTCACAGGAGAAAAGCATGAGAAATGAAACTAATGCAACCCTCAAATCTCTGGACAAGTATTACATTTGTTCTCGGCTTTATACACACTTTAAGGCAGCAGTTGGAATACGATGATGGTAATGTGTCAACTATAAAAGCTTATATTATTCTTTCATTTGGTGACAGTATCCTTTTAGCTGTTATTATTCCATTGTACAGCACATGAAACACAGTCTTATTAGTATTAGATAAGAGCTAATGCTAATATAACTCTTGCAAACAGCATCACATTCTTCAAAACAGGAAGCCAAATAACAACCTGGGAGGGTCATTGTGTTGTTGTTCCTTTAACCATCAGCAGGTTACTCTCTATTACTCAGCATAAAAACAGCTACTGTTGCTGTTCCTTCATGTTGCTGAATAAACCAGTTTTGATTTGAAGAGCAGCAGAAAGTTTTGTCTGTATCGGTCTTTTAATGCTGAATAAAGTGAAATACTTTTAACACAAGTTGTACAGAACTAGGGAGGGGGTGCTAATATTTGCCTTTACCGGAAAGATGCAACTGCTTGTGTAAAATTTGTGATCTTGTATATAATGTACATTAATACTGGACCCCAGTCTGTGCCAAACAAAAGCAGTGATCTGACCTACGATCTGACTTTTATTTGTTGCTAACTTCACTGTGATAGTGTAATACACTATCAGTTTCACCTTTAGAAGATCTTTAGCTTAAAGGAGAATTATGAGGCGAGTGATTTTCACTCAACCTCATAGTTCTAGCCGACCTGTGACAATGAAACTGTCACACGTCGGCTCAATAGATCGGGAAGTGAGCGAACACATACCGGCGTTCGCTCACCTCTCGATCATCTCTCTGCAGAGAGCCGTGATTGTCACTCACGGCTCGTTTGCAGTAATGCACCCCTCCCCGCTCCGATCCTCCAGCGCTCACTGGCCTCTAGATAGGCACAGCCAGCTGTCACTCACGCAGCTGGGTGGATCTCAACAGTAATGTCGATATACTGAGCTTTGGGTCACGGGAGGATGCTGGTTTATGTCCTCCCGTGACCCTTAGGCCCCATTCACACACGAATCGGCCTGCACATACAACTCCACGCTGCGTGCGGGGCAGTACCAAGCAGCTGCCGGGAAGGACAGGTGCTGGATGTGATTAGTACGCAGAAATAGTTTGCTGGGCAATGTATATTTGTTTAATCGGGATTCATTATTGAAAAAAAGTTTGAGAGTTTAATACCATTTTAGGCAACTGTACCATTCCATAAAGAAAGATATAGTGTGCTATATTTATACATGTACATGGAGCTTAGCTTACAAACATTTCTGAGTGATGTATTCTACAACTCATGTCTTTAGGACAAGTATAGGATCTATTTTTATGAAGTTATATAAAAGTAAATGTAATATAGATGGGGTAAATAAGGACACATGCTGGCAATGTTGTTTTTTAGGTCACACCTAGTTCAGTCTATTGTTCCATATTTGCAAAATGTTTTATGTTACCAAACCACAACAGGCAAAGGGGCTCATTCTAAAAGCTGGAGCAAAGGGAAGAGAAGGTATTGTCCATACCAACCAGATCTCAGCTGGGATCTCTCTAGTGCCATTAGAAAAAGAAACCTAGTTTGCTCGCTGTGGATAATATATTGAGATTTTTTTCCCTCTAAAATATAATATTCCGTCTTATGGGGCCCTGAAGACTCTCAGTAAGAATGACCAAACATATATTTTTAGAACAGGCAGATATTTAACCTTATGCAATGGTGGTGAGATATCTGAGTGGGCTTGGGCAAGCCATAAGCATCTGCACATTTCAGGAGATGTATAGTTACAGTGTACACGTGGTTAACCACTTCCTTCTCTTTTCTATATGAAGAGTAAAGGATCAAGGCAACAAGCTGGCAAACCTCTGTGAACACTAACAAAAAGACATGTTTGGAAGCAATTATTATCGCCCTCTATAGAAGGTGTATACATCTGATATTCACCTGTGAGCCAAACCAGGGTTGTGTGGGGCCTCCTTGAGAATATAGATATCTCTACTATGATTTATTGGATGTTCTATTGGTAATTCTGTTCATATATGTATTACCTTTTCATGCTAGGCAATAAGGGGCTTTTGGAAGGTGGAAAACCCCTTGACATTCTATACACATGACATTTAAAGTTTAGCTGTTTTGTTTTCAACCGTTCCAATGGCAGTAGGAGTAAAGGGGCCCATGGTGTTAAGCTTGGCCTAGATACTGCTTTTCCTGAAACATAAATCAGCACTAAGCAATTGATTTGCTAAATGCCTCACGTGGCCAGTCAGCTTTGTCCATTTTTATGGGTCTGGCATCTGGGGAGATGCTTTTCCAGCTTCTGTAATGTGTGCCTCCATTTGACGTTACTGGACAAGACCTTATGAAATACAGGGCTATCTCAATCATAAGGTAACATAGGGTGGCCAAATGAATATGGAATTCAGGAGTCAGTCTGTCTAATTCAGGAGCCAGCAGGGTTTCTTTTTAGCATGCCGCTTCATTGGAAACTACTAGAGAAAACCTAATTTTTAAGGAGCATTGACTACCCGGCTGCTGGGATTTGCCCCAATGTAAGATATGTTATAAAAGTGTAAAAAGAGGACCACACTAAAACTGGAAAATTCAAAAGATACATATCAGATCTTAAAAAGGAGGGGATGCTGGATGGGTAATTATGATGTATTTGAAGATTTTACATTCTGCCTTTTTATTACATGATCATTTAATAATGTGTATGTGATCATTTCTGCAATTCTGGAGTATATATACATATCAGATGTTAACAAGTGTGTGCAGGCTTAGAAACTTTCCCCAGGATTTGTCTGGCTTCATTCATTTGGATAAGGTTAGAAAAAGTTTGTTTTTACCAGGGTGTGTCGGAAAGCCCAATGCGTCTTGCTTTATTAAAATAAAATTAGCACGTGTTTTACTGTTTTGCTTTATGAGAAATAACATACAATACATTCTATGTGAGTTGTGGTAAAAGCTTCTTATCACAACTAATGGATAACCGTATAATGTCACAAGGGGTGACTTTCAGCTTAAGACAGTCATGTGACAAGTATGCAAAACTACTGCAATGTACTGTATAATTGTTTCCAAAAGATTTCATAATGACTCATTGGACAACACTCAGATTAAAACTAAAACATCGAGGTAGAATTATCATCATTTGTAGCACAAAAGAGAAAGAGAATTCCAGTTTGAGACAGATTTACTGTGCAGTTTGATTCACACAGGTGGTGGGCTTTACCGTCTCTTAAAAGAGGTCCACAGTGGATTGCTTCTCAAAGGGTGGTAGAGTAGCAGCTTCCAGGCGTTCAGATGGCGATACTGCCATTTCCTGAATTCCTGTTTTTTCTTTAATCCCAAGGGGGGTTTTACATGGAACTACCATACCGCAACCAAGTGCCAAGCGATTGCATAATAAATTTCCTGTTTTGTGTCCCGTTTGTAAACAATGTGCAACTTAGAAACACATGGAGATCATTGACTGGCAAAGAGTTAAGATGGCATTTAAGAGTTTAGTGAAAGTTAAAGTGGGCTCTAGGCAAAGAGCGGCATACACAGTTCAAACATATGTATGTGAACTGTTTCACAAGCCAAAGATTTGATTTTTGCTTCAGCCAATCTTGGGATTTATACATTCATGATACACAGCACAGATAGTCAGGCGACACCTTTATTTTCATATTTAGATTTGTTGGCTTGCTGTGTCATCTGTTTGATCACTGGATAAAATGTAATGGAGAGAATTTATCAAAACTGGAGCAGACAGAATCTGATGTGGTTTTCCATAGTAACCAATCCATGTATCTCTTTGGTTTGCTCAGTTAAGCTTTGAACATGAAAGAGGGAAGCTGATTGGTTGTCATGCACAGCTGACTTAGATGTTGTTGCACTAGTTTTGATAAATTCCCCTCAATGATTTTTGAACGTCCACGGTTGGAATACCATGTTGACCGAAACTACACCAAAGAATGGACTGGTATATATTAATCATAAAAATGACAAACTACATTTTAAAAAGTTTACAGAAATAAGTTTATATATTTATATAATATATATTCTATAGGTTGGAAAATAAACCAGAGACCCTGTATGGTCCATGTAAGGTCACTTTCATGATGGACTACAATCTCACGTTTAGTTTACTTATGTGTTTTAAAATTGGTGCAGTGTCTACCTTACAACACACACAGGGACCATGGGGAACAAAAGTAGTCATCCTCCGAAGGAAGGACAGTGTCAGCACCAATTCAGAGATGATTTGAGGATCTACAGCATGATACACATATAAGTTCCAATTTTGTTAATAGTTAAGGTACTTTATTAATTTTTAAGATTTAACTCCTGAGTTTAGTGTCACTTTAATGCATCAGCCTCTTAATGTTAACTTTAAAAAAAGCTCTAAGTTTTGTACTACATGTAAATCAATCATGCGTAACAAATTGATTGGTGTAATGGGAAATGTATATGTCATTTTAGATGTCTTATCTACAATACATAAATTACATCAGAGCTGTATGACTAAGTCTCTTTTTTTTATTTGTGAAATCTCGGAAACTTGTTGTAGCAGTTTTGTAATTGCAGGGAAATTTTGAACTGTGTACATGTAAAATGTCAAGTTTACAACCTTCAGGTGTGTGCTCAGTATACATATGACAGCTAACTGGCTTTCCTGCACTTTTCCACAGAAACATGGCAAACACACAGGTCCTTCCACAGGACTTGCACATGAGCAACATGCTTAAGGCTGTGAAGATCCGAGAAAGGACCAAACAGGATATAGTGAAGCCCAGCAACGGAATCATACATCATTTCAGAACAATGCACCGATTCACTATTGAACTGTTCATGATTTGTCACTTTTGCACCAAATTTCGGGAGATCCTGCAGAAGAGTCTGTTTGACAGATCCATGCAAGTTGCTCTGGAAAGTCAAAAAAGGTTAAACGCCTGTAAAGAAGTGAAGAAACTTGTCCCTTTGAGAACAAATGGTAAGCAGAGTGTGTGTGTGTGTGTGTGTGTGTGTGTGAGTAGATAGATAGATAGATAGATACACACTTTAGATTGTAAGCCCTCACGGGCAGGGCCCTCCTTACTATCTTGTCTTGAATTGTATTGTGACTGTAATGTCTTCCTTATATTGTAAAGCGCTGCGCAAACTCTTGGCGCTATATAAATCCTGTATAATAATAATAGATCGATAGATAGATGTGATTTCAGTTGTGTATGCTACTACTATTTCACTCATATTTGTTTTACTTTGTACTTCTGAATGAGACAGTCCCCCGAGCAGATATTCACTTTATCATATTCTATATTTTGGCAGATTCTAAAGAATTTTAGCTTTTCTACTGATATTTTTTAAACAATTTTAGACTGGCAGGTCCCCCGTGCTGGCCATGACTTTAGATGCATACTGCCATGTTATATAATGTTTGTAGTCCTCCGTGTTTTATGTACTCACATTTCTATGTTTCTGTTCTTTGAATTTTGGCTATACACATTTGAGCAATTTTACTGACTTTCAGCCAGCTCTCAAATGTAGAAAATAATAGACACGTTAGGAACATCCATGCCATGTATAACTTGTTGCTCCTCGGTTGCCTTAATCCATTAGATTGTTTTTGCGTTTGAAAGCTGATTGTTCTTGTGTGTGATCTGTAGAACGTGTGCCCTGGTCGATGTGAGCTATTTCTAACCATAAAACTGTGCCATAGAATTTTACTGCTTTGTATAGATTCCAGAATATTTAAATGAGGTTTATTTGTGATTTATATATCAGGTTAATCTTTTAGAAAGCCAGGAAAGTTACAGTGTAAAAGATAAATTGTATGCTAAACCACGATTAGTTTCCTTCAGCTGAATCTCATTGACTGTTGCTAAAGTAAAAACACATTAATTGATATGGGCAAAAACATATCATTTCTCTTTGAACTTTGACATTCATAAAATTGTTTTATGAAGTTGTTTTTTGTTTGTTTTTTTTTAAAGTCACATTTACGGAATACCTTACAGAAAGGTTATCTTCTGAGTGCTAATAAACCCGTGTGACTTAAAATATCAGAATGACATGAAATAAGGAAGAACACGGGTCATATAAAAATTGAAACCTACAAGAGAGAAGAAAAAAAAAATTCCCACTTCAATCGCTTGCACAGATTTCACTTGCCTAATGAATATGCATTCCAGCCAGGCTTGTCCCGCCCTCTTGGAAAGTCCTGTCTGCTGCTATGTTGAAAGAAAAGAAAACAAAAAAATACAATAGACCTCAGCCAATTGCAAGTCATTTAGCTGAACTCTGGGAAATTCCGAGTGACAGGGAATTTTATGCTGATAATTCTTTGATTGGCACAGGCAAAACAAATCTGATCTTTGTTCCACATTTTACAATGGAAGGGAAATTTACCTGTCAGCTTTACAGACTGTTCTTTTGTCATCCTTCACTCAATAACGTAGCAGCTGCAGCATTGCTGAAAATAGAATTAAGCTGGCCACGCATGTTACAGCCTTTTTAAGTTCATTTGAAACTTTTTATTTATGATATTCTGGCCATTTTTTTGTAATGCTGTCCCACAAGCACCTCACTTTTTATGGATTTGGTTTGGATAGAGCAAGACATTTTTGAGTTATCTGGTGGATAATACATTTGTTACAATTAGAATTTCCAGTCGGTTCTGAGTGAAAACTCCAGTATACTTTGTAATCATCAAATGATCAGATTTAAAAAAAATCAATAGGTTCTGTTAGAAAACTCTAGGTAGTTGTGAGGTTTTTTTAAAGCAACACTAAACTCAGGAGTTACATCTTAAAAATACATTAAGGGCTTATTCACCCCAAATGCAGACCAGATCTGCATGACTTTCTGCACATGCAGTGCAGTGGTTTGTGCCGCGTTTTTGATGCGTTCCGGGCCGTTTTTGTTTTAAAAAAGAAAACAAATTGGGGTTTTTTTTGTTATGGACTTTCAGTGCGTTCCAGGGCTGAATGATACACAAAATGAATCTTGTGTATCATTCAGCTGTAGATCCTCAAATCATCTCTGAATTTGTGCTGACACTGTCCTTCCTTCTGGAGGGTGGCTACGTGTTAGGATATTAGTAGTTTTGTTTTAAACACTTGTTTTTCCAGTTATGTATTCATTAAAATCAATAAATGTATTATTACATAAAATTAGTATAAATCCTTGACTTTTTTGTATGTTAGCTTTCTGTAATCCCCTGCACAGCAAAACTCACACTAGGAGAGGGTGACAACCACTCTGAGCCATCCAGTGCTCCATTGGTTTACGCAGTGCTGTCAGTTTAATAATGTGAATATGCTTACAGGATGGTAGAGCACGGGGGTGGGAGCACGGGGGTGGGGTGACCACATCCGTGTCACTCATCATTGTTCAGGTACTGGCTGGGGGAGGAGACGTGACAAAGAAAGCTAAATTTCAGCAGACTTTTTTTCCAAATGTAAATGTACAGAGACTAATTTTTTTAAGTGGAAGCAGAGGAATATGGAGAGTACTCCATGTTATCCCCACCCAGGAAGGCCAGAAAGGGAATTTTCATTTTTCTCTATATTATAAAATGTATGCTGTAGCATATGACATAAGGTGCAGTATGCCATTGGGAAAGTGTGCACTGGCTTGCAAATTAAGTGGACATAATCTGCAGAAATATATTTCAGAATTTGTTCTGTTTTGAGATATGTACTGTAGCTGTAATATTAGATATGTATCATATCTCTGTATGATTTAAAAAAACAAACAATTGATTTTCAATGTTGTACTGTAAACCTAATCCAATATTATGCAATGCGGGGATGCTTAGTTAAGTGGTATAACCCATGATCTGAGTGTATGTGTCATAAGTTGCTGCAACCATAGATAAATGATCCAAGGGTTGAATATACAGGTTTTTGTGGAAAAGTCTGTAAACTTTGACCATGTATGAGTTGTCCTCATGACTGTATGAGTTTGTCATGATGCAAAACACATGTGTGAGATGGCTTTGAGGAAAGGGCCATTCTCCAACTCACAGACCACTTACTAGCTTCAAGGCAATAACTCATTGAGTAGGTTCAGCTTCACTGACCCAAGATACTATGTGGGATTATATGTCTGGACTTGCCTGCTTCTATCACAGCCTACTCTCAAAAGGTGCTATCTTGAGATGGCTGTAGACAGTCTTTTTTAAGTACAGCAGAGAGCAATATGTAAAGTGTTGTAATCTATAGAAACCTATTTGTAACCATGTTTTTTAATGAAATACTTAGATTTAGTGTATGTGAGCATTTGAGATGCATTTCCTATGCATTTTTACTACGGTACATTTTCAATCGTCAGCTTTCATTGAACGATTACCTGGTGATCCTGCCATGAAAGTTCTTGTTCAGGCACTTCATGTTGTGGAGGGTCAACGGTCTTCCAATTGTTCTCCTGTGTTGTCAACCTGTCACCTGCACCCCTAATGAAGACTACAAGCAGCCATGCCAACACATATTGCACAGGCATGGTCCACTGATGACTCTGTCATAAGCAAGCCTAGAGCAATGGTGTGCAACAACTCTGTAGAGAGAACATGTAGTGGCTGAAATAGGCTTCAATCAAATATGTCATCAGTTTACAGGGAACACAGGGATTGAGGGTTTGATTTTCTAAGTATGGGGGAGAAAAATAAATTCTGATTTAGGAATGTGCAGGACTTAATGGGATACCCATTCTCACTATTAGGCTATGGTATGCTCAGTCTACTTGTGAAGTAGCTTGTATATCTCCCCTCCTAACATCAGAAAAAATAGGTTTTTAGTGCAGTCATTTTACACCATGAATCTATATTTTCAGGAGTCATGTTAGCAGTCTGCTGTATAAATCTTGTGTTCTTTTTATCTAGGTGATGGAAACTGCTTAATGCATGCCACATCTATGTACATGTGGGGGATGCAGGACACAGATTTACTGCTAAGGAAAACCTTACAAGAAGTTCTAAGGACATCAGATACTAGAAACTTTAAATTTCGCTGGCAGCTTGAATGCGTTAAATCCACAGAGTTCATACAAACAGCGCTTCGATACGATACTCGGGTAAGATATGGAAAACAAACTGCATTGCAATGTAGGATCATTGCATCTGGAACTTTGTTAGATGCTGGAAATGATCTTTATACAGATTGTGGATATTATTTATGTCACACCTACTGTGACATAAAACAGGCAGTTATTCCATTTTTTTTTTGTAAAATTACTTTTATTTTATCCTCAGAATTGGGATGAAGAATGGGAATATATTGTCAGGATGGCATCAACGGAACCCTCATTGAGTCAAGATGGACTGCTGTATAACTGCCTTGAAGAAATACATATATTTGTCCTAGTTAATATCCTCCGAAGACCAATCATTGTTCTTTCAGGTGAATATATTGAAAATGGAAAACCTATTCTTCCTTCCTTTTGTCAATTTGAATCGTCTTTAGGTTTAAATGCATGTTTCTTTTCACACAAGTGGTGTTATTATGATAATTTGGCAAACCTAATTATGAATGATAAAAAATATTTAAGGGGACATTTGGTAATTCTGCTGCACATGCAAAGCAGTTCTAAACAATGAGAGAGACGCATTTTACTTAAGAGTTCAGGTTCATTCAGAAGGTCCTTCCTCTGTTGCTCTTAATTAGTACGGTGATGGAATAAAACATTCCCCTGACCACTTCCTAATTGTGCGTCTGTTTGTTGTGAAATTCTGTCTCCTCTTCATTGCTAAATCTGTTGCAGACCTGTGCAAATCTGTCTCAATTTTCTACCTAGGATTTCAGATGCAGAGGTCACAAATACACAGAAACATTGTTCATATACTTTGCCAATTAGAAGCAGCTAATTTGTATGATAAATGTCCACCAATGTGTTTACTTTTTCTTTACAGACAATGTAATTCGCAGCTTGCAGTCTGGCTCCAGCTTCTCTCCTCTTAACGTTAGTGGAATTTACCTACCTCTCCATTGGCCTGCACAGGAATGCTATAAATACCCTATAGTTCTTGGCTATGAAAGTCAACACTTTGCACCTCTTGTCACTATGATGGACACTGGTCCAGGTATGTACAGCTGTTTTGCACCAAGAAAGCTAGTCTTGTCATCTTGTCTGCATTTTGTGTCCCTTATGGTATAGTCTTTAACAAATGTAGTGAAAACCTGTACATTTGTGATCTAGATGTTCAGTGCCCAAGCATGTACGGTAACTATGCTGTGTCCCCTGCACATCCAGGATGTGCAGGGGACAACCAGAATGGCTACATACCCATGCATTTACAGTCATTATGTTACTGGGTTTTCCTTTTATGTTCATTCAGAATTTGCATCCATGTATAGTTTAGGTAGGGGGGGGGGTTGCTATCACTACATATGCCTATTGTAGACAAATTAGGGTAACGACAACCCAAGGAGACCAAAATCAGCACGTCCATTAACATTTTAGGTTAATTGACCACATTGAAGAAAATGACCACAATACATTTTTTTTTTTCAAGCAGAGATTCGCGCTGTCCCACTTATATTTAATGAGAGTGGTAGATATGAAGATATGAAAGTACACTTCTTGACTGATCATGAAGAAAAGTCCAAAGACAAGCTTCTGAAAGAGTATTTACATGTACTTCAGATACCTGTTCAGTCCTGGGAGCATGGCACTTCTCATCTAATAAATACTGCCAGGTGAGTTCACCTTCTAATGGGCTTCTTCTTCTAGTTTGCTAGGAAAGTTACCTCTATAAAAATATATTACTCTATTACAAATACCTCACATAAATATTACAATATGAGGTAACCATTGCCAGTGAGATTTTCATTCCAGTTCTGGTTAGGTTCACTCCTGTACTGAGGTCACCAATGGATTAAACCATCTTCCGTTTGATTTCACTGGGCTTCTTACATTCTCTGAATACTATGGGGGTTTTTTATAAAAACTAGAGCAGACGAAATCTGGAGCAGCTGTGCATGGCAACCAATTAGCTTCTCTCTTCAATTTAAAATAAAAGATAGAAGCTGATTGTTTGTCATGCACAGCTGCTCCAGATTATGTCTGCTCCAGTTTTGATAAATCCCGTGAATTTGAAAAACAAGATACAACAGTTAAAAAAAACTTCAGGACCTTCACTTTGATGATTCTGCTCTGTAGATATAGGTCACAGAGGTGAGGGTAATTAACAGCCTACATATCCCTTGACATCTACAGACAGATATCAATGTTTTTATCATGGCAGTCCTGCTGTATGTATGTATGTATGTGTATATGTATATATATATATATATATAAACATTTTTTTGGGGGGGGTTTATTCCTTCAGCAATTGCAGTACAGACCTTTTCTTTTAAATTTATTCTGATCAGATAGTCAAACATTGCATGCAATTAAAAAAGCTTTTATTACTAAGTGAAACAAACAAAATAAGCTCTAACTTTATTTAAATTTTTTTTTTTACAGGCTGGATGAGAATAATTTGCCAAAAGAAATCAACTTAGTAGAAGATTATTGCCAGCTAGTGCAACATGAATACAAAAGGTGGCAAGAGTTTTCAGAGCAAACTGGCAGGGGCAATTGTAGTAAAAGTAGATATGAACTTTGCCTACCTCAGCTCTCTCTTGTGGAAGTAAAATGTGAAACATTAAACTGTCCTTTCTACATGTCTGTGAACACCCAACCTTTCTGCCATGAGTGCTTTGAAAGGAAACAAAAGATCAGTGACAGGACTAATGCTCAAGTGCACAAGGGTGAAACCGTCCCCCGCAGAACTGAATATATGGAGCCATCTTGTCAAATACCAGAGGAGTCTGTGTCTGGTTCTGTTGCTCTGGCTACAGCCCCAAGCCTTTTTCTCTTTAGTGAAACAAATGCAATGAAATGTAAAACACCTGACTGCCCCTTCACATTGAATGTGGAGCTCAATGGACTGTGTGAACGCTGCCATAATACCAGGCAAATTCAGTCTGGTAGCAATACGGACAGTTCAAGGGACTCTGATATCATTAGGTGCACTATTTGTTTCGAAGACACCACAAGAACTTTTAATGGTATTTGCAGCTCTTGCTTCAAAAGGAGCACAGAACGATTGCGCAATTCAAGTTCTCCACCCTTGCTGCATCAGAGGTCTATCTCAGATCCTATAAATGGGTCAGGAAGCTTTGTGAACCTGACAGGTTTTGAACCAACCAGCAGGAGGAGCCAGGATTCAGCCCTTGGGTCTGGTGCTGCGTTTAATGCAGAAGAAAGAACATCTAACCAAAAGTGCAAGAAGTCTGGCTGCAAGTTTTTTGGGACACTACAAAATGAAGGATTTTGCACACTATGTTTTATTGAATATCAGGAGAATAGTGGTAGGTCATTACTAGACTTTTTATGTGTACACGGTCATACTAACTGCACTAATGTATTGCTGCTTCTGTGGTATGCTACAAAATATAATTAAAACCAAGTCCTTACTGACCTTTGTAGCTGTGGGCACTGTGGAGAAATTCTTCCTCAAAATTCACAGCAGGTGTACTGAAGTCCTTCAGCTCATTCTCTCAGGCAGCTCAGCTCCGTTTGCTTCCCTTCCTGTAGCTCCTGTGTTAAATTTACATTACAAAAGGATAGAAGGCTGCAAGGTGGAACAGGGGGAGTTAAGTTAGTTTAGGCAAGGACTTCAGTACTATGATGTGACCTTTTGAGGATGAGTTGCTCTGCAGTGCCTACATCTAAAGGCCAGTGAGGGCTTGTTTTAAAGCTTGTTTTCTGCTTGTTAAAATGCCTATTGAATATAAATGTTTTTTATTTTAATGTCTATAGCCTGACCACAATCCCACTTTACGTTGCTTTATATTGAACCTCAGGGGAATATATGGCTGACTTATGTGCTCTGCTTTCCTACAGTTTAAAACAGAACAAGTTGGTAGTGGTAATTGATTATATGGTTTTTGAATATAAACACTACTATCCGTCTTGTAGTCTTTACAGTAACCTATAGAGAGACGATAAAAGCTATGTAAATATTCTTGGAGGGATGGAGAAAGAGTAATGGAAATGCTTACTTCATTGCAAAAAGGAGAAAATGCTGCTCCCAGTTGCCTTTTTGTTGACCACATGTCCTCAGTCTTGGGTACTTATCCATGTAATCTCTGTTGAAGAGAAAAATCAGAGTTCATGTTAGCTTATCCTACCTTGCAGTAGGAATCATGTGAATAAGTAGATACACTTTTGAATCTGTGGCCAGCACCGAAGAGTCTAGTGCAGGGTAGGCAAACTCTGGCTCTCTAGTGCAGGGTAGGCAAACTCTGGCTCTCTAGTGCAGGGTAGGCAAACTCTGGCCCTCCAGCTGTGGTGCAACTAAAAACCCCATTAGGCATTGCAAGACTCTGACAGCTGCAGGCATGACTCTCCGATCATTAAATTTATTCTGATCAGATAGTCAAACATTGCATGCAATTAAAAAAGCTTTTATTACTAAGTGAAACAAACAAAATAAGCTCTAACTTTATTTAAATTTTTTTTTTTACAGGCTGGATGAGAATAATTTGCCAAAAGAAATCAACTTAGTAGAAGATTATTGCCAGCTAGTGCAACATGAATACAAAAGGTGGCAAGAGTTTTCAGAGCAAACTGGCAGGGGCAATTGTAGTAAAAGTAGATATGAACTTTGCCTACCTCAGCTCTCTCTTGTGGAAGTAAAATGTGAAACATTAAACTGTCCTTTCTACATGTCTGTGAACACCCAACCTTTCTGCCATGAGTGCTTTGAAAGGAAACAAAAGATCAGTGACAGGACTAATGCTCAAGTGCACAAGGGTGAAACCGTCCCCCGCAGAACTGAATATATGGAGCCATCTTGTCAAATACCAGAGGAGTCTGTGTCTGGTTCTGTTGCTCTGGCTACAGCCCCAAGCCTTTTTCTCTTTAGTGAAACAAATGCAATGAAATGTAAAACACCTGACTGCCCCTTCACATTGAATGTGGAGCTCAATGGACTGTGTGAACGCTGCCATAATACCAGGCAAATTCAGTCTGGTAGCAATACGGACAGTTCAAGGGACTCTGATATCATTAGGTGCACTATTTGTTTCGAAGACACCACAAGAACTTTTAATGGTATTTGCAGCTCTTGCTTCAAAAGGAGCACAGAACGATTGCGCAATTCAAGTTCTCCACCCTTGCTGCATCAGAGGTCTATCTCAGATCCTATAAATGGGTCAGGAAGCTTTGTGAACCTGACAGGTTTTGAACCAACCAGCAGGAGGAGCCAGGATTCAGCCCTTGGGTCTGGTGCTGCGTTTAATGCAGAAGAAAGAACATCTAACCAAAAGTGCAAGAAGTCTGGCTGCAAGTTTTTTGGGACACTACAAAATGAAGGATTTTGCACACTATGTTTTATTGAATATCAGGAGAATAGTGGTAGGTCATTACTAGACTTTTTATGTGTACACGGTCATACTAACTGCACTAATGTATTGCTGCTTCTGTGGTATGCTACAAAATATAATTAAAACCAAGTCCTTACTGACCTTTGTAGCTGTGGGCACTGTGGAGAAATTCTTCCTCAAAATTCACAGCAGGTGTACTGAAGTCCTTCAGCTCATTCTCTCAGGCAGCTCAGCTCCGTTTGCTTCCCTTCCTGTAGCTCCTGTGTTAAATTTACATTACAAAAGGATAGAAGGCTGCAAGGTGGAACAGGGGGAGTTAAGTTAGTTTAGGCAAGGACTTCAGTACTATGATGTGACCTTTTGAGGATGAGTTGCTCTGCAGTGCCTACATCTAAAGGCCAGTGAGGGCTTGTTTTAAAGCTTGTTTTCTGCTTGTTAAAATGCCTATTGAATATAAATGTTTTTTATTTTAATGTCTATAGCCTGACCACAATCCCACTTTACGTTGCTTTATATTGAACCTCAGGGGAATATATGGCTGACTTATGTGCTCTGCTTTCCTACAGTTTAAAACAGAACAAGTTGGTAGTGGTAATTGATTATATGGTTTTTGAATATAAACACTACTATCCGTCTTGTAGTCTTTACAGTAACCTATAGAGAGACGATAAAAGCTATGTAAATATTCTTGGAGGGATGGAGAAAGAGTAATGGAAATGCTTACTTCATTGCAAAAAGGAGAAAATGCTGCTCCCAGTTGCCTTTTTGTTGACCACATGTCCTCAGTCTTGGGTACTTATCCATGTAATCTCTGTTGAAGAGAAAAATCAGAGTTCATGTTAGCTTATCCTACCTTGCAGTAGGAATCATGTGAATAAGTAGATACACTTTTGAATCTGTGGCCAGCACCGAAGAGTCTAGTGCAGGGTAGGCAAACTCTGGCTCTCTAGTGCAGGGTAGGCAAACTCTGGCTCTCTAGTGCAGGGTAGGCAAACTCTGGCCCTCCAGCTGTGGTGCAACTAAAAACCCCATTAGGCATTGCAAGACTCTGACAGCTGCAGGCATGACTCTCCGAGGCAGATGCATGCTAGGATTTGTAGTTTCTCCACAGCTGGAGGGCAAGAGCCCACCCCTGGTCTAGTGTAAAGGTGGCCATACACTTTACAACCATCGCAAGACCTTAGTCTTGCGATGGTTGTAAAGTAATTAAAAATAACGTACGATCTGCCCATCTTGGACAGGCAGATCGTACTTCCGATGACCGCAATGCTGAACGGGCAGTGTGCGTGTGCGCACACCGCCCCATTCAGCATTTGTCTCCCGAGCATGCCACAAACCAGCCGAAAATCGCAAGATTTTCGGCTGGTTTTCGGACATGCTCCTTAGACAAAAGACGTGCGACCGTACAGTAAAAACGGTTGCACGCCTGCCATACACTTTGCGATTATCGTACTATCGCGGTATTTGCGATAATCGCACAGTGTATGGGCACCTTAAGTGTAGTCATTTTCTTTAAAAGATCCAGAGCCCTGCTATTAGAAATGTTAATTATTCATACCACATAAACACCACCACTTTAAAGCCCTCCATTTTCTATTTTCTGAAAAATTGCCAAAGTCTCTGAAAAAGATAGAGGCATGTTTATGGTTAGGCTTGATCTTCAGTCTCCATTCTGATTCTGAATCCATTATGTAAAGCAATCTGTTTAAGCCAAGTCTGTTCTGTATTGTCTCTGGTGTCTATTCTAGCTGTTTGTCCCATCTCTTCCCACCAGTGCCTTATTAAAGCACTTTCGGAGATCGTTTAAGCTCTTCCTGTCCTGCTCCGAGGTTGCTGGCCTATTTTAAAGTGACATTAAACCCTAAGATTTTTTTAACATAAACCAATACTGTAATGTGTGCCTTACTGTAATCCATGGTTGTTTCCCTTCTCTTTGCTGCTCTTCCTTTTAAATCCTTATCTCTTCTCATGCTGGGGGAGAACTTCCCTTTGCAGCTGGGTGCCTCTTCCTGTAGTGCTGGCTCAGGTTGTGAACCTGCACACAGACACCATGTATCCATTCCAGAGACAAGGCAGTCTGCTGCAAAACAGAAGTTCTGCCCAGCATGAGAACAGATACAGATTCTACAGTAAGGCACACATTACAGTATTGGTTTACGTTAAAAAATCTGAGGGTTTAATGTCACTTTAAGGAACTTTTCATCTTTCCTTATGATCCTGCCTTATTATTCTTGTAATTCTTGACCAAACAGTCATAAAGATTCACTCCAGTTAGAACTAAAAATTAGACACTGGATGCATACAGGGGATAAGGAAAATGTGCCCTGGGCTTCTGTAAAAGGCATCCCACTGTTTAAAACTCCCAGTAATCTAGCAATCTGTGAACCTTAGTTGTTCACCTACCGGTATGTGGTTAGTCAAGTCCCATGCACAATAGGAACCTTGTTACCCAGCATAGAATTACACGAACTCAGGTTAAAGCAGGACTCCTGGAAAACCGCTAAATGTACATTTAAAATGAATCTATGATTACATTTTCAGGAGAGGAGAGGACTAACACAGGAAGCAGTAATACCAAATCAGGAAGTAGTTAACCTGATTATTTGTAGCATTATGTATATTGCATTGGATTTACTATAAAAGAATAGTAAAATTCATAGAGCCCAGTGTACATTACTAAATAGTTACAGTAATACCTCGGTTTACAAGTAACTTGGTTTGAGAGCGTTTTGCAAGACAAGCAAACATTTCTGAAAAATTTTGCCTTGATATACAAGCGATGTCTTGCAATAAGAGCAAAATTTTGTAGAAAAGCTCCACCCGAATAAGGCTGTAGCAGTGGGAGCGATGAGTCTGTTTAACGACAACACAATGTCACATTGGATAGATTCCTTGTTAAGGTTTCACGAAATGAAAAAGATTCCATTGATTCAAGAGATAGAAGTGATTCCGTTAGTGATAGTGAAAGTCTTCCTATAAAATAACCCCCCCCCTCTCTCTCGTCCCCCTCACACCAGCCACAAAGGTACCGGTAATTGGTTTATTTTTCTTTATATTTTATACAGTATTATACTACAGTACAGTATTGTAATCATTTTTATATGAATATTTTTGGGTTGTGGAACGAATCATCTGAATTTCCATTATTTCCTATGGGGAAGTTCGCTTTGCTATACAAGCGCTTTGGATTACAAGCATGCTCCCGGAACGAATTATGCTCTTAAACCAAGGTATTACTGTATTGGGAATCCATTTTAGTGTATTAGAAACTCTGCACTAACTCTGCTGCACTTTCCGATAGAAAAGGCTATAATTAAATAAGTAAAATCATTTCAACAGATCTGACACATTTATTGTTAAATTACAGATAATAGCCAATATTTCAACTTTACAAGCAGCTGTAGTTTAAACGCATATATTGTGTATGTTTTGGAGTGTCAGTCATGCTAAGATAATGTAGACGTAATTATTGCATTTTGAACTCATTTGTGTAAGTTGTCTTGACTGTATAATTCTATCAACAATGTCATTATGTCAAGTTAAGTTGGGATTACAATTTTTGTGCCTCTTTTACAGGTGTTGACTCTAGAAGGGGTCACAAATCATCGCAAAGCAATGTCAGTGTGGCTGCATTTAAAGACATGAGTCGCTGCCTAGGGCAAGAATGCAGCACATTAGGGAGTACGCTGTTTGAAGGATTCTGTCAAAAATGTTTCATTGAAGCTCAGAATCAGAGATATCACGAAGCTAGAAATCCAGAGCAACAACTGCAGAGACAAAATGAGGTGAGTAAAATGTTCCTTATAGCTCTGAAGCCTATCTTGAGTTACACTTGAGTTTAAGGCTGGGTTCACACCTGGGCGTTTTACAGCGCGTTCCTAAACGCTCAACATGTGAAAAACAATAATTGCCTATGGGCATGGTTCCCACCTGGGCGTATTTCAGCCCGTAGGAACGCGCTGAAAAACGCCCAAAGAAGTGCAGGAGCTTCTTTGGCGCGTTTTGGCACGCGATTCCATTGGTATTCCCGAGTGTGGATTGGGGTTAACAAAGCGGTAACCCAGAGCCACACTTGAGAATACAGGTCTTACCTTGTCCGCAATCCCCGCTGTGTTCTCGGCGGCTGCCGACTTCAGGGTTCTGTCCCTTGCGAGGGGGGCGGAGCCGGCGGGAAGTTTGAAAGTGAAAAAAAAAATGTAAATAAGAAAATAAGGAAAAAAGAAAAAAAATCATACCGCCAGTGAAACGCGCGTTTCACTGAACGGAAAAACGTGCTAGAAAACGAGCTGAAAAACGAGCAGAAAAAATACGCCCAGGTGTGAACCCAGCCAAAGATGAGTGTAGCCATATTAGTGCACTTGCAACAAAACAGTCTAATGCTCACATAGGCCAGCTCAGTTATTCGTTTTTGTGGTTACCATGTCTTTACTAATAGCGAAGACTGCTCTGCTCATTGGATAGAGGTAATAATGCTGAATTCCTGTTCAATAGAAAGGCTAGAATTGACAAACTGCATTGCTGAACCAGGAAGATGAAATGTCTAATCAGGATCTACATGTGTCACCTCTCTGGCTGTGCAGTGTGGATACTGTGCGTAAATCACAAAATTGCCTGCATTACATTTATAATGGGTAAAACAATAAATATATGTACATTACTTGTACTGTACTTTGCTGTTTGCCCAATGTTTCACTCTAAAGTGCCTCTAAAAATGGGCAATATGTTAGGTTCCCTTGATAGCTCTCTACCACCCACTGATAATTACCTTCCCTGTGCTCCCTCCGTACTCGGTTCACCTTTTTAGAGCTCAGGGTTAATCACCTTCTTCAATATCCCATGTAACAGTGTCCCAGCTTAGAAACTGGGTTTTTTAAGCTCTTTGTGATACCTCTACCCCAACACCAGAAGTACTGGGTATTTCCATGGGATTCAACAGAGTAATAGAGCAATGTGGCAAAGGAGAGCATGAGCAGAATGGGGAGTGTGTTCGTAAGAGAACCTGTTTCTTTGCCTTGACTGTGATAAGCGACCTATTGCTTTGAAGCTACCTTCATTTAGTGGCAAGCCTCACTCCGATATGCCAACACCTATTCTTTCAGCATTATATATTACCAGATATAGGGACATCAGAACAGTGATACAGATTCTGCATTAGAGGTGCTGGAACAGGAATCCGTATTTGGGCATAGAAGGAAGTCTTTTTGAGCATGAGCAAGTGGCTAGAGGGAAAAGCCATTGTATTATATCACACCAGATTGGCAATTCCATAATTCTTGAAGGTTGCTAGAATGCCTTGAGCCTTAGTACTTTTTTAGTATTTAAGATCACATTGTTAAAACTGCAATCATATCTTTTTCCAGAGATCTGGCCTAAATCGCTCTGGTTGCCACATGAAGAAATGTGCTAGAGATGTCTGCAGGAATCCAGTAACTGGGAGAAATGAAGAGCTTTGTGCTCAGTGCAAATACAGAGGCAGCAACAGCAAGTCATCTGGAGAAGACACTCCTCAGCTACGGTGTAGGGCACCAGGATGTGATCACTACGGAAACAACAAGTGTGGCGGTTACTGCAATGAATGCTACCAATTCAAACAGCTATATGGATAGCAAAGAAACCCCCCAAAAAACTGGACAATACATTTTGAAAATGGCACATACCACTAAAAACACTCCTTAAAAACCTACTAAATCTTGAAAGAACTTTGTTTTATAAATTACTTTACCTTAATATGCATATTTATCAATACTGTATTTTAAGTTATATGTATAAACATATAAATCCCTTCAATTCATTTTGTGTGAAATTTGTTTCTTTGTGTGATGTGTAATATGTGATGTAATAAGATTTATTTTTATATATTGACAGACTATTGTGTGTATGTTCTTTTTATATTTGTTTATAATTGTAACTTAATAAAATGTTCTTTCTACTTTTATACTGTTGTGACATTAACAGCTCAATTTAGTAAACTCTTGCAAACCAGAGTCAGAATACTGCGGTTTACAAGTACTGTTGTACATCAATACCTGCATACTGTCAGTTCGCGATGTTTTAGGAAAACAAACATTTCAAAAAACATTCGGGGCAAAGTGACATTGTTTGTTCATAGCTCACTCTCCCAGCAAGGTATACTCGCTGATCCACATTCCCTAGCTACATGCCAGCTGCAGGAATCCACCCTAGGTAGGCATCGGTAACCTGGGAGGAGGATAATGTCATTACCCCTGCCCACTTGAGTGTCCGGGCACTGCGATTGATCACTCAGGCCCAAGCACTGTCAAATGGGGGAGCTCATAGTATCTTAGCCAGGGGTTCAACTGAGCACAGATTGGTGAATTTACTTGTTGGGGAGAAGGAGGGGAGCTATGAGCAGACACTTTTACTTTTTTGGGGGGAAAATTTGTTTTTCTTTTAAGGTAACCTAAAAAGACACTTTAAAAAAAAACAAAAACATTCTTCTTAGTTTAATGAAGAAACTCCTGTCTAAATACAATTGTCCCTATAGTTTTGAATAGCAAAGCTGAATAATTCTCTAAATTTCATGTAATAATAACTATAGTTTATAAAGCTGGAAGAGCTGTAGATAAGCTCTTTAGCTACAGACACTTCGAATAATTATCTGTATGTGCTCATTCTGCATTAAAGGAAACCTGTACTGAGAGAGGTACATTAGGTGTCTTTATAATCTACTTCTGACAATGCTAGGTGTCTTACTTAAAACATGGCCTTAATCAGCGACGTGCGGTACCTCTTGCTCGGGGTGAGGCATTCCCCAGCCCCGCCAACCGAAGCCCTGCCCCCGCCGAAGCTCCGTCTCCTGTTGGACAAAGCCCCACGCCCAACCCGTCCCCACGCTAGTGTAAGAGAGGAGACCGGGAGGAGCCTCCCTGTCCCTCACTTGCTCCTCACCACTGAGGCTCCGTGACAGGTTACACAGCGGGGAGGATTTCCCTGCTGTGTAACCTGTTAGATGCCGATCTGAATGGAGAAAAAGCTGTCAGCTTCAGACATGAAGCTGACAGCTTTTTCCTCCATAGTTCTAGGTGAGGCTCTGCCTCCCCTGACCGCACGTCCCTGGCTTTAATACTTTGCCAGTTGCTAACCTAGAGCAAGTATGCAGACTTTAAATACACACTGTATTTGTTGTATGCTTATAATAGTGCAAGTACAAATGCAAGTGGCAGCCAGGTAACTAGCATTTTGAGAAGGTCTGCAATGGAAGCCTACATATTTATATCAGTATATGTTATGTATGCACATAGATCATCTAGGAGACACTCGCCAGCGTCATAGCTTGCCTTTAGATTCTTTGAATGGCCTAGGTCCACCCCACCAGCTATGATATACTGGGGAAGAGTGGTGCCTAATTATTTTGCATCCTTATGACAAACTGGAGCCCTATGGCATTCTAAGTTTCTACCAAATCAGATAAAGGTGTTCATTTTGTTTCTAAAATTGCACCTAGTGCTTAGCAGAGTTTTTTTTGTTTTTTTTGAGATTCTAACTAAAACATCTTAAATGATGAATTAACAAGTATAACAAGTCTCATTATCCTATATATAGTCATGTAACAGTTGCTACTTCTTTTAAACTGTAAAGTGAGCATAATAACCTGTAGCTTTTTTGGTACATTTGTATAATTCCTTTACGTCGAATGTGAAATTTCACATCAGGCTTCACCCTACTAAATTTGGGTTAATGCAGAGGCCTAAAGTGACCCCGGAAGTCACTATCCATTTCTTTCTGAGACTTATATAGTAACAAGCGAGTTCTTTTCAGCCCCTAAATGATTCTGGACACAATTATACGTTGTGTGATCATAGCCCATAGTATAGATCTGTCCCCAGGTTCTCATTCACATCAGCTCTGTGGCCTGGCTGGGGCTGCTGTCTTACCGTAGGTAGATTCCAGGGGCACAGGAACGTAGTAGCAGAATTCAGCAGGGATAGTTGCCTCTTATAATAATCTACCCTGTGGAACAGGAAGAGGGGGGATTTAGGCAGTACATAGAGTTCATTACATGTGTTTAGAGATTGAGTAGCCATCGCATTACCATATATCAAAAATGTGGGCCTGAGGCACTGACAGGACCAGGATTTCGCTCACAAAAGACTGGCAGTTGCCGTGATAAATGCATGAAAGTAATGTTTGCTTTTTTTTACAAGAATTCTTTGAGAACATTTGGCTTTATGTATAGAAAAGACCATGAGGGGAATTAATCAAAACTGGAGAAGACAGAAACTGGAGCAGTTGCCCATGACAACCAACCACCTTTCATTTTCAAACCTTAACTGAACAGACTGAAGAGAGAAGCTGATTGGTTGCCATAAGCAACTGCTCCAGATTCCTCTGCACCACTTTGGATAAATTCTCCCCAGGCATTTTATTCAACACTGCAGATTTAGCTGTGACTTAGTCTAATACACTGGCTTCTTTGTTCAGCCATTTTAAAGTGGTTCTACCATGAGAGTACTGACTGGTTGGTAGCTGTGTAGGAAAGCATCTAACTTGATGTATTTACTTCTAAAACACCAAAAGCACCAAGAGTATATATATTCTGTATGTTTTTAACTTGTCAGTTCCGATTATTTAACATTTGAAATTTGTAAGAGTGTAAGCAGTTCCTGATTATTTATTGTGTATAGCAATGACCACCACTGATATTGTGTTTAATGTATAATTATGTCACAGTGGTTAATATTCACTGTATTACTTGTATTCATACCCAGAGGCATATCATTAGTAACACTGAAAAGAGAATGCTGTGCTGCTAGCCATAGCAACCAATCAACATTTGGGAATTCTGTTTTGTTGCCATGGGCTACTTCACTTGGCTTTTTTCATTTTTAAAAATGCATTTAAAACTGTAGTAGTCCCAAATATATTATATTTTGTATTGTTAATTTACACTAGTTAACAATTGACAACTTTTTTTTGTACAACATACGTGATAACATTAAGCATGTTACGTATGTTCCCCAGGAGCCAGCTCAATTCAACATATGGATTACTGTACTGGCATATTGTATGTACAGCTATAATAAAAACGAATTGCTGTATGTACAGATATTAACTAATTGTTGTTAATGGGCCTCTAATGACCATTTCAGAGCACTAGATGAAAATTCAGTGGTGTAAAATACTTCTAACTTACGCATACTGTCAGTAACTGGTTAACATTTGCTGCTATCACAATTGTTAGTTAGTGCATGCACTCCCAGATAACCTGCAAGCATGCGTGCAATCGATTTGTTTCAGGAACTTGATGAACTCTTGATAGGTCACATTTAATACCTCCTCTCCGATAGAGAACTATTGCTGTGCCCAGATGGCATATGATATGCGTCATACTACAAGAAAAGTTAATAGTACAAAGCTTTTCATGTATGATTGGATTTGCTGGAATATGAAGCTACAGAGAAATTAAGTGAATAGACATGCATGTAAAACATTGTTACCATGTCAGATGCCATATTTCACTCAAATATTGCCTTATTCCACACAGTATAAAATATTAAAATTAATTTAACTCAAATGTGTCTTTTGTTTATTGAGAAATTGATGGTAAACTTGAATACATATTTTGTCTCAGATTTGATCTGGCAAATTACCAAATTTACCTACAGCAATATGATAGGAGGACCAAGCTAAACAGACCATTGGATTTGTAAATCTGAAACAAATCTGACTGTGCATGGATGGATTATATCAGAAAAGATCATTCTGGAGTGTTTTTCCAATCAAGGGTACATTATTATATTTGTTTTAAGAACCTTTTAGGTGTAGAGCTACAAAGTGGAAGCATGCTTAATTATGTCCAGAAGCAGCATAACATAGTAGTTAATGTAGTTTAAATGATACTTCATCGAATCCTTAAAGGTTAGATGTGATATGTAATACTAAAAAACATGTTAGCATTGCTTTCATAGCACGTTTACGGCCTGCAGTCTGATTAGTAGAGTTGAGAAAATGCTTTCTCCAGCCTGCAGCAGACTGATGACATCATCGGAGTCTAGGTAAAATCACCTCACTTGAGTCAACGGACTTCTTTTTAATAATAAAAAGGTACATCTACTGTTGCTGTATATTGTGACACTTCAGTAAAGGATTTATGAAAACTTGTAAATTACCTGAAGAGTCCAATATAAGTAGTAATTATAAACCTATAGAAACCAGACAGAAATCATCTTATACTAGCCTGTTAGCAAAGTGAATGAATATTGGCTCTGCAATTAAGAAATCTGTATTGAATATAGCCAAACATGTCAATTTAGAAATCCTGCATGTTGATACTAGTGGAGGATTCAAAGCCATTGAGGTTTCCTATGATGATACAAGGAGAACACTGAAAAGATGCATCGCTCCTCCACGGCTCAGGAAAGGAATGAGCCGGGGTTCTTGCCGATGGGAGCACGTCGTCCTTGCTTCAAGATGAGCCCATACAAACAGAAGAAAAGTTGGCTGCACACCGGATTCTGCTGGATTCGTTTATCGAAGCTTGTACCATGTCACTGGTGTCCCATCCAAGGTCCACCCCCCTGACTCGTTTCACCCAATCACAGGCTTAGTCGTAAAGACTACTCCAGCATAATCTGGTGTGTGGCCAGCAT